CAATGTGCTTGAGGCTATTGAGGGAGTAAAGGCTACCCACATTGCATTGAAGTTCAAATTGCCAGAGTCTTTGTTCATGACTACTAATGCCCTTACAAAAAAAAATCAAGATTGTAAAAGAAATATGTACTTTCCAGAAGCTAGGAGGAAAAGGGCTTGTTTCCTTTTCTTGCCAGTGTTGCTATTGGAATCTATCCCAGCAGGAGATAAGCAGAGAAAGAATGCACATTATACAAAAGGGTACTGGTTGCTGATCCATTCTGGCCTCTATCATGCCCAACAGAGATATTGTGCTTTTATAAAAAGAAGGATATAACAAGTCACTACTCCATTTGGTGCAGTGTAGAAAATGCTGTAGCACCCTTGTTTCCTTACATACTGTTTAATCTCCTCATTTAAAAGTTTCTATAATGCACAGTGTAATCCCCAGTTATATAGCTCAATCACGTATTTATTAATTTGTGACACCAAGTGCCCACTAACTGTCCCTGAAGCTTTCCTTGTGAATGCATGTGCACCACTTTATTGATTCTAGTCCCTTTTTGCTCGCTTTCCTCAAACCCTTCCTCTGCTAGGCATGCAAGAGTATTTCTATGCTGCTGCAGGTCATAATTGAAAAAGACAGAAATGTTCAATATGACTCATGCATTATTCAATTTATCAGCTGCCCAGGAGAAAAAGAGGAGAAGTGTTTGCATGTCTACCTCTCCTGCTATCAACAGAAGAAATAATTTTCAATTATACTAAGTGTATGCAGCTCGGTTCACCAACAGAATCTGGAGTGGGGAAGAGGAAGGTTGAGAATGAATGGTAGCATAGGAAAGTAACTACTGAAGAAAATTTGCTTGTTTCTGGATTATTGGCTCCTCTTTCCATCTTAAATATATCCTAAATGGAATGCAATGGAAAGCAAAATGAACACCACAATTAATGGCAGAAATGTAAATTAACGACCTGCATTAAGGCTGTTGAAAGAATACTACTGAAGTCAATGAAGCTCTGGATGTGAACTTCTGACTTTAATGCAGTGTCCTAAGTGGGAGGGGGGAAACAGAATATTTTTGCAGCAAATATTTATGATAATGTGTATGAAGGACAATAGTTTGCCAAAAGCTAGATACTTTCTGGAAGAAAATATACTTCAACATTTCAGCTGTTCACATGGGAAGTAGACAACCCAGAGATCCTTGACATTCAACCCTGGAGCAATAAGAGAGGGACTCACACTGTATCAATTTTTGTACCCTTGCCTACACTTTCATGACAAGACTGCATTACAAAAAACGTGGGCAACTGAAATGATTAACCAATCCTATTATACCCAAGGTGTCTACCAAAGCCTGCCACTCCACTGCTGCAGAAACAGTTTTAAAAGCTCATTTGGTGTCTTCAAGTCTTAACTTTCTCAGCCTCAACCACATGCACATGCTTAAAGGTACAAAGTTCCTATGAAAATAAAACTTACATACTTCAGCAAAGCCTTTGACTATGTGGATCATGAGAAACTATGGGTTGCTCTGAAAGAAATGGGTGGGCCTCAACACCTGATTGTTCTGATGCATAAACTCTATTGAGGACAAGAAGCTATTATTAGGACAGAATATAGAGACACACAAAATCTTTGATAACATGACCCATAGAATTTGGTAATCATTTGTACAAAGAAGTGTACTTGTTCCTGATGACAGCAAACCCTACACATAGTTCTGCTATGTATCATTAAGTTAAGTAGTATGCTGCAAAAGATTTGCCTACAAACAAATCTCCTTTTACAAAATTTCTCAGGAGATCCTTGCTCTACAGGTAGACATTTCAGCTGGGGAGATGAAATTTTTCAAGATGAAGTTAGGTCTTTACTATTCCTTAAAATATATTAAGTAGCAGTTTAGAGGATGCCAGGAGAGGGGGCAGTCTGTAAACCCCCATTATTTTTAATGGCAGGTTAAAAGCTAAAAATATTCATAGTTACATAGTTGCCCACTCTGGCAACTATGAAACTTATATAACATAAAACTTTCTCATGGAAGTTGTATAACATAAAACCTCCTCATGGACTCTTAAATTAACAAATAAAACATTTAAATTAAAACTTGTTATATAAAACAAGATATCTACTTCATACTTTGTTTTAAAACAAATGTTTCTATTTCAGACAAATAAAGCAAATTAAAACTGATTATGAGAGAACAGCCTATCCAAGTTATCTCCAGACCACCTTTGAAATCATTAGCTAAATACTATCAAAATAGCAGGGTATCAGCAAAACAAAGGAAGAAAGGCAAGAAAAGCAGACATTTAATCTATTCTTTCCACCCTATACACCACCCTTTATTACCTTGTGCCAAGAGAACAATCTTAAGGGGGAGGATCCCTGAGGATGAAAAGCTCTGCCACTGGAGGTTTCAATTTATCCCAAGTCTTGCTGGGCTCTTGCCAACAGGGTGAAAACTGCAAGGGAGCTAGGAATATTTGTGGTTTTTTTCCCCCATGTGCTTGGGTGTGCAGTAGATGTGTGGAAGGTAGATTTAAGGAGTTTAGATGGTACTGTCACCAATCAATCATGAGTTCTGTTTCTAATGTGGTGAAGGTGAGCCAACCATCAAACAATGTTGTATACCTAGGTGTCTTATCTTTGCTAATAATTCTATGCTGTTGTATATTTCACTACATGGAAGTGCCCTATCCCATTCAGTATGAACAAATTCATCAAATTCAAGCAAGACAGATCTACTAACTTAATTTCTCATCAGGTCTGGACATTTGAGGACACCATGGAATTTTGTCCCACAAAGGTTTGTCTATTGCTAAATCAGTGTTCCCATTGACTGAAGGATTGTAAGCTTTTATTATTCTGATTCTGTAACTTGGATGTAAAGCTTTGCTCATTTTATCTCATGCATAAGAACAAAAGGTTTAAAACATTTTCTCTCCATTGGGTTTGATTACAACAGGTTTTGTATATTTTTCACAGCTTAGGACATCTTTCTGAAAAATCAGCTGCTTTTTGTTTATTTGTTTGCTTGTTTGTTTTGCAAAGACAACGTTTGAACAAATAATACAAGGTTTCTGGTGCAAAACACAAGCTTATTTTCTTTTTTCTTTCTGACTAACTTTCATACACATCCAAAAGCACTGGCCATTTTGTTCTTGTGCAGGAGCAAAAAAAAAAAAAACTTATAGCAGTTGATCGTATTTTTGGAATGCAGTTGACCATCCTTTTTCAGTTGAGGGTGAGAAAATTTGAAATTATTTGTCATATCCTATTCTGTACTCTTGCCCCGAAGCTGTTAATCAAGCAAGTATGGGGAACGAAGGCCGGTCTCAGGACTGAAAGAATTTGGCACTTCGAATGGGATTTGGAAGAGGCAACACCACTCTGTCGGAAACCAGAGAAGGAAGGGCCCACTACAACAGTATGGGTACTTGTTGGTCAGCTTCTGAACCAGTTGATTCCAGCAGCTGCTTGGGATTTTAAGATGCCAGAATCTAAAGGCCCTCCTTCTAGAGGAAACTGGGGAATTCAAAGCAGAAAAAGGAATCAGGTAGGTCCTCCTTGTTGTGCAGTAGGCACCGTGGGATCATTCACAATCCAAAAGAAAATGACTAGCTTGACAGATGTATGTGCTTTGATTCTGCATAAAGGAAAGGCATTTGCATTATGATTTCAAAGAGGATCAGATATGGGGAAAGACAGTGGAGGGTTTTCCTACCGTGATAGAACCCAGGGGTGAAAGGTAAATTCCAGCAGAATATATGGCTCTGCAGAGCAAGTCCAGCTCGAAAGAATACCCTAGGTTAGTTAAATTATTCAGTTCCCAACCAAGCTTCTCAACACTATAATCACATTAATGCCACACCGCAAAAGCAGCAGCTCAGTGAACTGTGGACCTTTTGAGATTCTGGAGACAGCATGTGTTCTGCAGCCCATATAAGCACTAACTCAGAATAAGGCTCATTTTGAACATAAAGATCAACAACAGCAAGTCCTGGAGCAATAAAGTCATGGTGGCAGCAATTTTTTCCTCAGGAGTGATGAAAGCTGGGCAGCCGTTTAAGCTACAAGTGATTGCAACTGAAGAAGTGGCTACCTGGAGGCTATGGCAATAAGCTGCAGAAAAACAAGCTGCTCTCCAGGGTTCCTGGTCTGGTTTTGGGTAACTGCTGGATGCAGAAGTCACTTCTAATTTCTGCAAAGCAGCCTTTGTGCCTAAAACACCCATGTGCCTAAAATGTGGTGAAGTTCCCCTCACGCCCTTGACACACTACAATATTTCTGGGTAAAAAGGGAGGGTTGCAGAAGGTACAGATGGGCATAATGTGGCATTTTGCCTATCCTCCATATAGGGAAAACGTAGAGCTATTTAAAAATCATTGCACTGCACAGCCTTATGTATTTCCACTTATACATACAATATTGAAACACAAATCTTACTCCGAACATGTAGTATTTGGAACTGATATTCCAAACAATCAGTTCACCTTTGCCTTAACATTCTGAGCTCCTCTATGTATGCTTGCTTACTTAAAAGAAAAAGAAAATTGTGCTGCTAATATGGTCTTAACATGGTGCTTAAAGCACTCTCTGGGTGGTTTACAATTTAATTATTCAGGCTACATATTGCCCCCTGTCCCTCCCCCATCAGTGGACTGGGTCCTTAATTTACTAACCGCAGAAAGATGGAAGGCTGAGTCAACCCTGAGCTGGCTACCTAAGCTTGTCAGGATAGAACTCAGGTCATGAGCAGAGTCTTAAATGGAGTACTGCAATTTAACCACTGTGCCACAAGGCTCCTAAAATACTATTAGCAAAAAATATTAAATGAGATTTTATATTTAAAAAAATGCGTAAAATATTGTTCCTTTTATGAAAACAATATATAATGAAAAAGAGGGAGCATAACCAACAGCATTTTTTAAAGTCCAGCCTTTTCAACATGAGCAACAAACAACAGCATGTAGTATTACTCATATCACAGTAGCCAAAACAGTCTCCCTCCTACCTTCCAACACTGTCAGTTTGGCACTTGTGTTTATCTCCCCAACACTATTGGTAGCCATGCATTCATAGATTGCTTCATCCCGAAGGACACGAAGAGGCTGAATACGTAGCACTGATCCAGAACCATCATCAAATTCAATAACCTTTGCAAGAAGAAGAAAAAGAATAAGTTTGTTACCAACTGCTTGCAAACATCAATCCACAGAAGAGCACGGATTCTGTACACATGGAGTGTTCCCAGTTTTTAACTATGCCTGTGAAACTGGAAAAGGATGCAAACAAGAGGACATCCTCCTAGCCCTCCATTCTCCAATGCAAATCCTTACTGTCTGAGTTTTAGAAGTAGTAGCCATGTTAGTCTGCGCTAGGAAGTCAGGCAAAAACAACATTAAAAATAACAAATAAAGAAGACAAAAATGTCATGGTCCTTTAAAGACTAACTGCTATACAGTAACTTAATGTGAGCTTTCATTGACAAGTCTGCTTCCTCAGACATCAGAGGAGGAAGTGGACTTCTCCACGAAAGCTTACATTAAAATATAGTAGTCTTTGAGGTGCTACAATGTTTTTGTCTTCTTTATTTTTTACTTTGTATTTGCCTAATAATTTTACAGTCTTGTTAATCAAATATGAGGGTTTCACAAACACAGTCCTTAATATTAAGAAATATTAAGGCCAACCAGGATGTTAGTGTTACATAACCATCTCACAATTTGCCCCTACCTCAGGTTTTGAAAATGAAGCTTCGAACCTTTGTTTGCCACCCTGATCAACAGTTAATCCTTGTCAACAGTAACCATGGTTAATCATCTAAAGTTGGAATTAACTCACTGCCATATTAATAAAATCAATACATATTTAACACGTTTTTAAACTTGCTGAAATCTGGATATAAAAATAGTATTTCCTGCAATAAAGCCACATTAAAGATATATGGCTTTATTCAAAACTAAAGCATTTCTTAGGATAAAACCCTTTACAAGTGTTAAATCAGCATAAGCACAACAGTAGTATGCTCATAAATTTAACTGTACATTTTGCCATTAGATGTTATCTGTTCATTAGCGCTATGTTTTAAGACTGCATGCTATCTCCTTTCTCTTTCTCAAGTGAATATCCCACAATTTGCTATCGCCCAATTTACTTGGTATCAGCATATTTCATGGAAATATGATTTAAACTGAGGTTTCATTTTATCTTACAGTGAAAACAAGGTTTGTACAAACAATAACTTGCTTCATTTGGCTACCACTGCTAGATATTGCTTACTCAAGCTAGGAAGAGAGTAAAGTTAATTTTAATGGAAAAGATGAAGTGCCCAAAAGCCATTAAGTCTGGCATATAAAAGCCAACCTTGGCTTGAATGTGACATACTGTACATATTGGGTCATTATCTTTCCATTCCCCTAAGCCAGGAGTTGGTAGCCACTGATGGTCTTGAAGCTGCCACCCACATTCCTACAAAAATACCTTAAAATAAAGTATTGCAAACCATGGAGGTTTCTGGAATAAACCAGGGAGGTGAACTGGGTGGTGGCAGATGGTATTTCTAATATTTTCTAACATTTTATCTACCTCTGGTCAAATGTTAGAAAATATTAGAAATACCACCCCATAGAGCAAAGAGAAAACTTGATAGGCTACCACGAAGTTATCTACAAAATGTTCCTTAATAGCAATGACTGTAAATCATCAGGCACAAGACCAAATTAATTCCAGACTCATCTAAATTCAATTTAGAAAAAGAAGAATGAGGACAAGAAATACCATTCAGATTTATTACATTACATTAATATGTTTTCCTTTATTATACTATAAAGATTCCAGAAGAAAACTGGTAAAATTGGAGGAGATACATTTAGGTCTCAGGAGACATTTAATTCTCCTGAAAGAGAATAACCCCATCACACCCTGCAGAAGCTTTAGCCTGATACTTTAGTTAGCCTAAGTATTGTAAGAACATGATTGAGACTAAAGGCCTATATAGTCCAGTATTATGTTCTCTCAGTAGGCCACCAGAGGTCTATGGGAAGCCACAAGAAGAACATGAGCACAACAGCACCCTCTTAGTTGCACTCCTCAGCAGCTGGTATTTAGAAGTACAATATGTCTGATCCTGGAGAAAATATGCACTATAACCAGTGACCACTGCCAACTATATTCTCCATTAATCTATCTAATCCTCTGTCAAACATGTCCAGGTTGATGGCCAATGCTACATTTGATACTTCGCAAAATTCCATAGTTTTATTGTGTGCTGTATGAAACAATACTTTCTCTCACTTCACTACTCACTTATCTGAATAGAAACTATTCTTTCCAGTTCACAGAGTTGATAACCCTTAGCAGCCTTCACCCTATAGGCATGGCTACATAATTATAATGTATGCATCGTCTACTTACTTCAAATCGCTGGGAGCTGACTTTCTTTCCTTTTTTCATCCATGTGATGCGTGGCTTTGGTTCTCCTGTTGCTTGGCATACAAAGGAGGCCACTCCTCCAGAAATCCCAATCTGATCTTCAGGGGTTTTTATGAAGCTTGGTTTATCTGCAAGAAAATAAATCGCATTGTGAGATGAAGGCAATATCTGTATGCTGTTTAAGGTGAAAGACAATGAATAATATAACATTCCAAGTTAAGAGTCCCAGGATCTACAAAAAACCAAACAAGAATATAACACCGTTTCAAGCCTATTCCTCTTACGGCTAACAACTCACATGTTCTTTTCCTCTCTGGATAGTTTTGCATTTAAGGCTTAAAAAGGAAGGTGACTTTCCTGTTTGAACACATCTCATGAAGGTTTTATAATACAGTAATTTAAAAAAACTTTATCTTTTAGTGAGTACCCCATCATTTTTAGTGAGTACCCCGTCACTATCAGCCTTGAAGTCTTCCTCAAAATGTTAATATACCTAATGATTCTAAGAGCTGGGCCTACATGTCCACCTTGGAACTTTGGAATGCCTGCCAATGTTCTTGAGTTGGATCCTGATTTGGGGAAGTATGAAATCCACTTGCAGAACTGAGTTAATTAGCTACTGGACAGAATAAAACTTGTTTTATAATACAGAATAATCAATGAAGTAGCTTGTGCAGCCTCACAAAGTCTTTCACAATGAAGCACATGAGGATTTCTGTAATGCTTATTCTGCTTTGCTTGGCTATGAAAAAGCTCATTGTGTACCTGCTGTTCCCATTATAAAAACGCACACTGGGAAGTTAGAAAGTAAAGGAACTCCTGGTGATGCCAGTCCCCAATAATTACATGCTAGTTGAAATCATGGTGCAGGATTGCCCTTTTCAATAAAAAGTTAACGGGAATTGTGAGCATTATGTCTTCTTGCTGACTCTACAATCTCCTCTGAGACTAGAGAAAGGAAGAAATGTGAAGAAATGCCATTTGAATGGGGAAGTTGAACACAAGATTCAAAAAATGTTTCCATACAGTCAGGTTTTTTAAAGCAACCTAATTGAGCTTAGCACTTAATTAAAAAGAAGAGGAAAAAGAAAATAATGAAGACATATTCATGGAGTAATACTGGCAATGCATTTGAATCACCTTCTCACTTGCAACGATAACATGCATTGCCAGTATTTCAGGATAAAAACAAAATAAAAATAAAAACAACAACAACAGAAAAACAACAATACTGTGGCACCTTAAAGACTAACTGCTATACAGTATTTTAATGTGCACTTTCAAGGACAATTCTACTTCTTCAGACTTTTCCACTAAAGCTCACATTAAAATATAGCAGTTAGCCTTCAAGGTGCCACAACATTTTTGCCTTCTTTATTTTTTGTGTTTTCTTTGTTTTTGGCCTGATATACTTTAACAGGTATTTATGCACATAATTAGTTCTGTGGAAATGCTTAAATATGTTTGAAGGGATATGTATAGACCTAGAAGGAAGAAGTGCAAAGCACATTCAGAGTAAATATTCCTGGAATACAGAAAATAGACAGCTCATGACATGTAGTCTCCAAGTCAAAGAGAACAGCCTGAGATTAACATTAACTGACTGCATAATTTACATTGATTTACCTAAATGTATACCCATTACTACTTAGTTACATTAAAATATGTCTGAATTGTTCTCCTTATAATATCAAAATACTAGTAAGTTACTGTTGGTGTTGACTGCACTGCAACTGACTATTCTACAACACTACAGTACTGATTTGTCTTGTGCTATTTAAGCACTTGATTTGATCTTTTTTGCGCAGGCTTTAAAGGTGTAGACAAGGTGTTTGGTCATGTTCATTTGACCATGCTAGACTCTCACTGTTCCCAGCCTATTATATGGAAGAGGTAGAAGCTGTCTAATTCAATTTAGGTGGTTGTAAATCCTTTTTTCAGAGAGACCCAAACCAGACTGAATGGTATTTTTAAAAAATTGTTTTGTCCAAAAACCTGTTTGTGAACCTTACCCAGGAAGCAGAGAGGGATACTGGCAACTTCCCTAGATGGTTTTCATTTTGGGGACTAGGCTGTGTTTATTCAGGAGCAGTCTGATTACTGCCTCTTTAAAATACCCTTTACTGAAGTGATGACTGAATGGCAGCAGATGGCCATGGAAAATTATTGTTCTGCTTTTTGATACTTCTGCAGTAATGTGTCTCAGAGTCTTTGCTAATGTTGTTGTTGTTGTCTCCACTTATATACTGCCCCACAGTGGTAGAGGACTCTCTGGGCAGTTTACAGTTTAATTATGCAGGCTACACATTGCCTCACAGTGAGCTGGGTACTCATTTTACCAACTTTAGAAGGATGAGAGGCTGAGTCAACCTTGAGGAAGCTACCTGAATCCATTGGGATCAAAATCAGGTTGTGAGCAGAGGTTTGACTGCAGTACTGCAGTTTAACCACAGCACCATGGGCCCTTTGAAACTTTTTGAGGAAAAAATTTACTATATTTTAATGCCCCCCACACCTCCACCTACTTATTTCTTAAATGCTCGAAAGTGAGGATTTCTACCATTTAAAAAATAAATGAAAAAAGGAAAATATTTTGGCGTGGGACCCAGGAGTTGGTGTAACCTTCCAAGGTCTAGATGGGTTTGTGGTCTCTGGGGAGATGATCAACCCCTGAGGGACTCCTCAATTAAGAATCCAAGGGGTGAAAATGATCTGGGAATGGTCCTCGAGGAAGCACTGGAGTCAGAACAGAGCAAGGCTGCTGATCCCTAACTCCAAGAGCCTCCCCAGGAGGATACTGTGGTCAACGGTATCAAAGGCTGCTGAGAGACTGAGAAGAACCAGCAGGGACACCTTGCCTCTGTCAGCCTTCCTCAAGAAGGTCATCGTGCAGGGTGACCAATTCTGTCTCCATGCCATGTCACGGCCTAAACCCGGATGGAAATAGATTTGAGGGCATCGGTTTCCTCCAGGAGTGCCTGCAATGGATCAGTCACTGCCCTTTCCAATAGCTTGCTCATGAACAGTACATTGATGACAGGCCTATTGTTACTACAACAGTCTGTTGCCAATTTTAGTTTTTTCTGGATGGGTGTAATAGATGTCTCCTAATGCAGTTTGCTAACTATTCTTGGGTTATAGGATTGGGTACAGTAATTGTAACTGGGAGCCTGTTCATCAAGGAAAGCCACATTGATTATCAAGGTAGCCCATTCCAGAGTTATCAGCCTGGCAGCTTTTATTCATACTATGAGATACAACTGAATCTATTATTGCACAGGAACCCTATTGGTCAGACTGCCTGATATTTGCTCAGGCTATGTCAGTCATGACACCAACACTTAATACCCTTAGAACAGAGATAACCTTACAACTGCTAATCCAACGAAAATCAGCCTCCCAACTGGAAAATTCCAAGTGTTAAATGTGAAGGTACTATTGAAAGTATCTCAGAAATTTCAGTTAATATGAAACAGAACTGTCAGACGCTAAGTGGGACAGAACAATATGGTCACATGACCATATTGTATAGGATATGATGCTAGTAAATTATGGGTCCAATTCAAAGCTTTGATTTTAATCTTGAAGATTTGCAGCCAAATGAATTAGAAGAGTGTTTCTTCCTGTAACCCCAACACAAAGAATGCACAATGAATCAAAGAATGCTTGTAAATATCTTTGCTATTTGCTGAAGAGGCCAACCACCAGTAAGGCCTTCCCCTGCTTCTCTCCACAAAATTGAGGGTAGGGAATATTCTGTTTATTATTCACTCTCCTTAACATCAGCATAAATGATAAACAATATGGCTAAGGTTTACAAAGCTCACTTTATCTTTTTAACTTTAAAAACATTTTAAAAATATTCTCCATGCTATTGTTAGAACTATTATTGTGACTAATGGTACAACGTTTTGCGCACAAGCTGCTCAGGTAGCACATCCAAGGCCACAAGCTCTGAAAGATGATTTGCTGCTGTTCTTAGCAAAAAGTCACAACTCATGAATATTGATTGTTACACCTGTGCAACTGTTAGAATTATATTTTATTGGAAAAGGGAAAGTATTTTTTACGTGCAAATGGTGCCATGATTAATAACTTCTATCATGTATTTTACTTATTTGACTTTCCTAAAGTACGTTCGACCCAATAATGGATTGGTGCAGTCAACATTTCAAAACAGAATGAGGGCTAAGGATACATACATCACGACACGATTTATATAATAATATTTCAGCCTAAATCCAATTGCTAGTCTCAGCTAAAGTAGACCCAGTAAATCAGAAGCTTAACGGTAAGTTAACAATTGTGTAAATCCCACTGATTTAACAGGTTGACTCTAGCAAGTTGACTCAAACCTTCTATTTTCTCCTGGGATCTATAGCTGCACTTTGAATATGAGTGACCTAAGCTTGGTACTACTCGTGCTACTTTAATTTAGTATATATAACATACTGAAAGCCTTAACAATTATATTATGGTACTCTGTATGTAGCGATACTGTTTCCTACACGTTTACATCTCAAGGTGGTTTTGTATTGCAGCCACAATACAAAAACACATTTGTATGGTGTTTTTGTATGCAAGTCACATTTATCCTTGAATATTTATTTATTTATTTATTTATTTATTTATTTATTTATTCATTCATTCATTCATTCATTCATTCATTCATTCATTCATACCCCGCCCATCTAGACCAAAGTTTACTCTGGGTGGCTAACAACAATCCATAAAATAATAACAGTATAAAAAACAACAATATTAATATAACTCAATATTCCTATATTCAGTAATCCTATATTCATTTGCTATTCCCCATACCTGCTGTACAAAGGTATATATACAGACATATGCACATACCAGATATTCCTATAGTGTGTGCACAGGTTGCTTACCTGTAACTGTAGTTTCTCCAGTAGTCTTCTGTGAATTAACAAATGTGGGTTCGTTCTGCACCAGCATGAAATGAAACTCCCTTGGAACATTCCACAGCCTAAAGTCCATTGACTGGCTCCTCACACTGCACATGCTCCCCATTACCCTGCAGCAAATCCTTAGTTCTGCCACTGACCAAAAAACAAAAACTGGTGTGACAGACTGAAGGGAGAATGGATATGTTGTGTAAATT